CTGGGTGCCGGGAGCAGCGGAGCAAAGCGGCAGCCCTGGTGCCGGCGTGGACGGTAGCGCTCGGAGGGGTGCGCGCCCATCGCGGAGGTTGTTGTCCCTTCTGGGCTGCACTTCGGGAGGTTAACACCTGTGCCCTTGTCAGCGAACCCCCACGGGCTGCTGGCCTCTTCTTCTGAGCCGCAGAGGCATTAGCTGGCAGTACGTGTAAATCAGATAAATAGAAAAAGCATATATGCAGAAACTTTCTGGGCAAGACTTAATTTTGAGCAGATGAAATGTTTTAAGTAGGTATTTCTGAAGTGGGCATTGGTGCTGTACCTGGGCTATTATGAGCAATGTGCTTCCCTTTGATTAAAGGTCTTGCTTCCAATCATTTTTCTTTAACAAACAAACAAAAACACAAGGGTGAATTACTCTGGGAAAAAGATTTTGCCCTGAAAGGCTGTAGCCCAGTTTGCTCTGCTAAGGAGCTCCATTCTCTGTCAGCTTTACGCAGCTTCGTGTTACTGACTCTCGTCGGGATTGTGGAGCACTTTTAAATAGTCCCCAAAGCTAGGAGAGGTACTGGTGTGACAGGGAGTGCTGCCTGCCCATGTGCTTATGTGTGCACAGACTGGGAATATGTGGAAACTGGAGTTTAGTTTTGTGAACAGAACAGCTACAAAGCAATTGAGCTAGCAATTTTCATGGTCAAATACGTTCGGGAAGCCAAACCTTTTTTTTTTAGATTGTACAAAGACATTAAATATAATATTTACAAGGGTGCAACAGTTGATATAAAAAGCCGATAAATTAAGAAGTTAAGCTTTTGACCCTAGTTCGATTGGGTGTGTACCTGTCATTTTGGGGGGGGAGGGGAGGGGGCTGCAGGTACATAGTTCATATTCTGTTTTGATATTACTGTAGTCTTCTATTTGTAACCTACCCCCTCTGCCGCTTATACCAGCACTTGAGAACAAGACCACTAACAGTAGTACTGTGGGAGCACCAGAGAAGCCTGGATGGAATAGCTGCTCAGACAGAGGGCTGGGTTTGGGGCATCAGAAGAGACCTTTCTAAGGAAAAATGGCTCATGGGTGAACTTTCAGTCTCGTTATCCTCACATTGATGTATCGCTCAGACCTGTTGGATTGCGTGGTGTTTTTCATCCAGCTCAATGACTATGAATATAGTAATGAGATTTAGACTCTCCTATACTTGCAGTGGGCGGAATGATCCAGTGAATATGACTTTGAGTCTTAATTGTATGCTGCTTAGTGGCTTATGTTTCAATTGTTGGGATTTAGGGCCTAGTCCTTTAACTGCTACCTGTATATGTCAACTTTTGATGTTTGTATGAGTTCCCACTATGGGTTGTTTGCAAGTCTAGATCATTTAATTCAATTAACAGAGGAGCGTTCAGCTCTTTTCTCTATTTGTATTTGTTTTTCACTACCTTATTCCTATAATCAAATTAATGTTTATCATTCTGTTAAGAACTTTATAGATGCTCTACAATTCCCAGAATGCTCTTACTTTTCATACTTGCAAAGAATAGTAAGAAGCAGAAAAACAATGACTTGCTCAAGGTTTAAAATTTACCTATGCCAGAGCTTGAACTTAGAATCTAAGAATTTCCTGGCTTTTATCTCTGTGCTCAGACCATGAGAGACTGTGCCTTTTTTCCAAATTCAAAATAAAAAAATTATATTTAGATATGTTCTGATAATTAGGAAATACACTAGATAGAATGTTGAGGTGTGTGAAATTTCATTCTCCTGTCCCAACTTTTTTCATGTGTGTGAAATGCAGGAATAATTGTGTATTTGTATATTTCTTTCAGATTTGCAACCAACATAATGCTAAAGCTCCCAACTTGGAATGAGCATTTCACAGAATGGCACAAACAGAACCTAGTCTGGACCATGACGTATCATGGTTCCTCCTTCCCTCATACTGGGCTAAAATGGTTGTGGGATTAATTTCTCTCCTCTGCTTTGCTAACAGCTACGATGGAGATTTTGTCTTTGATGATTCTGAAGCCATCATCAATAATAAGGTTTGTCTTGGTTTTTTTTTCCCCTTGATTTAAATGATTGTAGAAAAAAAAGAAAAGACAACAATCATGGTAGGCCCAAAATAGTCATCTTAGTGAATAACTTCTTTCTGATATTCCTTTTCTTGAATTTTTTTCTGATGCTTTTTTTAAAGTAAGCCTTATTTAAGGTTGACGGAGAAGCTGTACAGCAGTATTCTACAAAAAAGTTAGAAGCATGAGCATATTTAACAAAATCTTATTCCCAAAGCTATTTGAATAACTTGAGTTCTGATGCATAGACAACAGAGTGAACAAATTAACCAGCTTATTTTTTTTTTCCTTCTCAGAATGCATCTCCTTTAACCCTTTTGAAAGTGAGATTCTCTGCTTAACAACTGTTGATGTCTGGTCAAGGGCAATAGCATCTCATTTTGCCCTACCAAATACACTGTCTGCTTGTCATCCAAGAAAGTATTATCGAGGGTTGCAGCGTGTTTGCATGCGATGTTTAGTAGCGCTTATTCACACGCTACCTGTACAGCAAGACTGCTGCTAGAGCTAATTTTGCTGTCATTGCTAAGCCAGTGAAAGTATGCAGTAGACTTTCCTAATACCCATTGATGTTCATAGGAGATTTTCTATTATCTCCACAGAGTGACAGATGAATAAGCCAAATGAACACACTTACTCCAGTTGCAAGATGCGTAATGCATTGCTAAGTGATTCTAGGGTACAGGGATTCTCTAGCTGTGGTTTATACCATTAAGAATGCTTCCTTTACCCTTGTGTTCCTTCCCCAGTTAATAATCCTGTGATAACAGTAGTTGCTGAAATACAGGCAGGGTATTCTCGTGCTTCCCTTTAAAAATTATCATAAATACAATGAACAATCCTCAAAATACTTTGAATTTAACAGATTTTTCAAACTATGTTACTTGAACAAAACTGTAGTTGAGATTCCTTATGTTTTTGACATTGAGGAGTTGGAATTGAGTGTTTGCAATTGGTGAGACACTTCATAGCATCACATGTGGCAGTTGGTGAGGCTGTGCTCGTGGCTAGGTGTTGCGGTTACTCAGTGGATCTTACTCTCCTCTGGGAAATTCTTGTAGAAGGTTTGGAAAGAAGCACAGAGTAAAAAGGAGTAAAAAAGAATGACCCTTATGTTGGTTCTGTTTTCCTGAAGCCATAGAAGTACAGATGATAATCTACAGAGACTCAGATACCTCTAGAAGAATACATTTAACTTTTTGTTTTACATTGCACAAAGTTTAGAGGCAATTTATCACAGCATGCTATTTAGAATCCCACTGAATTATATTTTCCTTAGACAACTTTGTATTATGCTTATATATGATGTGTGTTATCTTACCTTGAGTTATAAATGTGGGGGGGGGGAGGGGGGGGGAAATACATGCCAAAATGGAGAT